TCTGTTCCCTCACACAAAGATGCTACATATTTCTTGTTCTAACCCTAATCCACTACATATCTCAAAGCCTTAACATTGATAACATCACAATATTAATATTTAATCTGTTTTTACACACTTGGCAATATTACACCCAGACACTTTCACTAAAATGGCATCATATAGATCTATCCCTTTCATCTCCTCCATAAAGTAACTATAATCTAAACCAACAATAACGTATTATCATCTTCAATTTTAAGAGAATTCAAATGGATGCTTCATCATAGTTTCTTATCTATCTAATTCATTGTAGTACGTTATACAAAAATCATAACCGCCCCCAAATTGGATGACACATTTATTACACCTCCCAACAGTTTTAGGTCAACCTGTGTTTTTCCCATAGCCGGGCCCATTATCTTTGTATTCTAAATGAAATCATTAGGAGCTTATGTTGTCACCATGCCAGGGAGGTAAAGGAGAACCGAAACTCCGGGTTGGGCATATATTTATTTATAAACAGGCATGAAGATAAACTATCTAAATTCCACGGTCCAATATAAATATTTTTCTTTGTAGGTTTATTTAGATAACCTTTACAGTGGGTCCTTTTGTTGACCTATGCGCACTATAAACTTAGCTGCTATTTTTCCTGGGAAACAGTCTTACCCCTCCCCCCTCCTGTCCTTGAACGAAATAGAATTTAGATAGAGAATATATACTTTTACCAGTGTCCGCTCTCCATTTCCCCCCCCCCCCCCCCCCCCAAAAAAAAATTCAAGTTCACCCCCCCCCCCCCCCCTCGGAGAAAAAAGTTTGACAGAAACACTGGAACCAGTGTTGTTAAGATTCTCAAACTACCAAACACATGTTCTGGCGACCTATGTTGTTAACAGAAGCCTTTGTCTGGCTAAAATTGCGTTTAAGAATATAGTTCATGAAATTTATTTTTGTTTAGCCTACAGTATAATAGGTTATATTACCGTTTGGATCAGTTGGTTGTCAACTTCCCCAAAGTTTAAATACTAACTGGTAGAGGGCACCATGATGATTTGGTATTAATACTGGCTACTCATGCAATGTTAGTTTATCATGAAATAGTTAGATTTAGATTAGGTTACAATCGCCTTATAGTCAAATTATTTTTTAATGGGATATAGATCCATATCACTCATATTGAGAAAATAGAGATGCATTATTGGTACTGAGATTTATATCTATATAATTGTTAATTGTAAATATACTTTCTTCATCATTGATACTGGGATATAGATAGATACATTTGTACTGGGATATAGATCTATATAAATTGAAACTGATATATATCTATAACATTGATACTGGGATATTTATCTATATCACACATCATTGAAAATATATCTATATCATTGATACTAGGATATACATCTATTTCATTGTTACTGGGATTTAGATCTATAGCAGGGGTTCCAAACCTTCTGCCTGCGGGCGCCATGGTACCCGCTGAACGATTCGTATGTGCCCGCCTCTCACTATTCGACAGAGACAGAATTTTTTCATGAACATTATTTTAAAATATGATTAATTTTTATTTATTTGTTACAGTTTTAATTTTTTTTTTTTGACTGCCTAGGTTTATTAAATATGTTCGATACTTGTCCCAACTTGTCTAGCGGCGAGCCAGACTGCACTATTTACGTTTTGTAAATACATTTTTCTGTGTGTATGCAATGTGAAAAAAATGCCAAATAGTTTTATTATTTTGAAACATTTTTGTTTATTATTTACTAATACATAATGACAATAAGAAAATACGAAAAGAAAATAAATTATGGGAAAATGACAAGTTATGAAAGGAGTTTGTCGATGTAAAATAGGTGGTGCCCGCCACCATACCGATAATTTAGGTTGTGCTCTAGAGTAAAAAAAAGGTTGGGAACCCCTGATCTATAGCATTAGTATTGAAATATAGATCTATAAATATGAAACTCTGATGTGGAACTGCATGATGGCTGCTGTGACGTGTGTGCTACTATATGATGGTAGTTGTGTTGAGCATCTTTATAACGGGAGCCTCAATACGACAGCTGTACTGTGGAGCTGGTACCTTAAAATACAGGATTCTATTAATAGTTTTTCAAGCATTCCCGATAGATTTTTTGGGCTTTCGTGATCTAAAACAATTTCCGGAATTCAACTTAAAACAATGCAACTACAACGGATATTCATAGTTTATATATTACTCTGGCTTCGGGAATTTAATTTACTAACAGGGAAGGGATGTTTAACTTCGAGCTATGACTAATACAGACTGCTCCATCTTGTAAACGAGAAACGACTAGATATTTCCGAAACAGTATCGTGTCATAAGAGCCTTAAAGGCTTGTCTGTTACCTGAAATGTCACATCAGGAGTGCCGATAAAACGCGAATCACTTGCCGGAAGGCTTGTTTTCTTAAGAAAAGGAAAACCCCTTAAAAGTCCGCTATCGTTGATTTCGGGTCAGTGATCCTCAAATTGTTATCACTCGTGTTTTCTTTGGGGCTCTTTCCCGTGCAACGACCTGACAAAATGAGATGACTTTCAAATGATACATACATCTCATGTACTAATATTTATATTACGTAAGGTTAACTAAAAATAATCTTGTTAGGGTTAAGAAAGAGTGTTTGAAATAGAAGCACACTATTATGTTTGAGTGGAATAAATTATTTTTAAATGTTATAGATAGGTTATCTGTAACAATGTGTAGTTGTATATCGACTATAACAAATGTAAAATACCCTTGACGGGCCATAAAGCAGGTGAGGTAGAGTTCACCTGTTTCAGTAAATTCGGCAGGTGAAAGGATTGTGTGGCCAGCACTATGCCCATGTGCCTTTACTTTCCTTAACATGAGTCAAGTACCCAACAGTTGAGCGGACTCAATGACGTTTACTGACACGAACCCGTGTTCTTAACTCGAGACTTTCTGTTTAGCTTTCTTTGTAACTGACTGAAAGAAAATAGACGGGGTAGTGCAAAAAGCGAGTATGACCTTTAAGAGATGGAACCTGCTATTTGTCTTGTACGGTTATATCAATGTCGTCTGTAGAGGTCGACAATATACTGCTACATAACCAATAAGTTTAATTAGGGACATTACTCCTTACTATCAGTATTAGTTATATTGATATGAATACTGTAAAACTCTATATCTTTGTTTTTCGTCTTCATGTATTTAAAAGCGCACGACGAACTACTAGAAAATGTAATGTTGGGGACGGCATGGCCTAGCGGTAGAGAGCCAGACTGACTGCTAACCTGAAACTCGCGACTAATCCTGGTTCAAGTCTATTGAGTGTTCCAGAGTCCACCCAGCTCTAATGGGTACCTAACTCACGTTAAGGAAAACAAATACAGCTGGGCATAGTGCTGATCATACTATCCCTTCAAATGCCGAGGTCTCTAAAGCAGATCATCTCTACTTCATCCGCCCCAAGTGTCTTGGGCAGAAACAGAAAAAGATAAACATAATGACAATGCAATGTGAACTGTTTAAAGTCTAAAGACGTAGCGAAACTGGAAGTGTGGCACTGAACTATTTATCTTTTCGTTTGAACAGCACTAGAATTACAGTGTACGCCACCCCAATGTTATCGTAACAGTTCACGATAAAAGGAAAAATAACTAGAGCACTTAGGTGACTCATCAACACGGATATTTAATAACAGTTATGGAGTCATCAGATAAGGTACATCCGTCATTTGACTCTATCTATGTACTGTACATAGTAAACAAGAAGCGATTAGGATATATATATATATATATATATATATATATATATATATATATATATATATATATATATATATATATATATATATATATATATATATATCCGAATGATGTACTTATGGTTGTAATAAGGTGAATTACAAAAGTATTCTTAAACTAGTTACTGCTGCCCCCCCCCCCCCCCAACATTTTAAGTGCACGTCGGCCACCCCCCCCCCCCACACACACACACCCGCCCTCCCAAGCTATTTGCAGGTCTCAGATTTTGACCTCTGTTTTCCACAAACTTCCTCATCTTTATCTTAAAGCAAAATAGAAATTTTTGTTATGGTCCCGACATTATGCACTTCAAATAAAGCTGTATTTAAAATGTTAATAAAACATTTAAATAAAAATCTTTGATTGTGATGCGCTAAAAAGAATGAAATATATGATTTTTAAACAAAAAATATATAATAATGCACCGATACTAAAATAACTTAAAAGCAAGGGTCGCTTGTAAAATTTGACTAAAGTCATTCGAAACATAATATACCATTGCCATTGAAATCGAGATTATGTGGAACATAACACTATGCGTTAAAGGTGTTTCAAAATAAAATTGAGTTACAAGATTTGCTAAAATCTCACCTACATTATGAACTAAGTAAAAGCTTATTGAAAAGGAGAACAACAAATTTCATAAACAATTTTTAATAACAAGCTTTTGGTTCAATTATACAAAGAAAAGGAGAGAATACATGTTTTTCATTAAAGGTATAAAAAGCACCACTATTTAAATAACTATAAAGAAATGCGTGAGTCGATCTTTAAATATTTGTGTTTTAGTTCTGATAAATTTTAATACAATAGAAATGTACGACTAAAAATCGTGGGCGCAAAATGAACAAAAACTGTACTTTAAAAATAGAAAACATTAGTTATTTCTTTCAACATTAATTATGCAGCCAAATATGTAAATTTGGATGTCGGATTGCATTGTCATGGGCTCAGTGTTTCTTCCAGGCATCTCTTCGGGGAGAGGGGGGGGGGGGGACGGAGCCCCCGAAGAAAGTCTACCGCCATCCCCAACCCCCAACCCCCCCCCCCCACTTGAACGAAATGGAAACATATAGCAAATGTAGGCCCTATAATTTTACCGTTTGCACCCCCCCCCCCGAAAATATCAGGTGCTCCCCCCCCCCCACCCCCCGCCCGGAAGAAACACTGTATGGTTTCTTGACCAAGTGCCAAGTTTCAAACACAATTCGTTAGAAATTGTCGATAGTTTCTTGCCAGTTTTGATCCACTACAAAGCAAGTCTAAAAACAATAGCATGAGGAAGCAAGTTAAATACAAGCTTGTAAAATCATATTATTACACATTATATCAACATATCAGTTTGGTATAAAACAAAAGTTCATATATTATTTACAGTATTTACAAATTTAAATCTTAATATATGTATATTCAACTAATTAGAACGCAACATTGCCAATCCAAGAAATGATAATTTCTGACCATCCTTTACTTTAGCTTTTCCTGAAAGATTTGCAAAAATCTGGTCCTTTTCCAATAAGCGGAACACTCCTGCTGAAAAACATAAAACAGATCAAAAAAATAAAATTCACTTTAAAAATAAACATTGTAAAGGGTTTATCAAAACTATAGAAAACATTCACAATTTAGTAACTCTTCAGAACAGAGTGCATCCATATCAAAATTTGTGTGTTTTTGGGTTATAAAATGTAGCTTACAATTATTTAGTTAGGCCGTGTAGTCGTGATTTAAAAAAAAAAATTACTCCTAGCCCAGAAACAACGTAAAGGTCCCCCCCTCCACCCCAACAACTGAGCTGAAGATATTATTTAGTGGGTCACATTATCTTATGGTCTTGAGGGACAGGACAGTAACCCATTCTATGGACGTATGGGACAGAGCAGTAACCCATCTTATGGACTTGGGGGGGGGGGGGGGGGGGGTACAGGACAATAACCCATCTAGGTGAGAAAAACGTAAACAAACGACTGCTGCGTTGGTTAGGATCTTGGGTGAACGAAGACAACAGAAGCACGTCTAGAAAGTCAAGCTGATTAAATCGGCGCCAATGGCAAGTATAGCGAATCACGTTTTGAAACACATTGTATTATTATATTTGAAAACAAACAACGATGTTGGAAGTGTAAGATTAGCTGTTTGATACGGTTAGGAATGAATATCAATTTAAATTTAACAGTGTTTTGTAGAAAGATAATTGATTTTTAAAAAGCAATACATTACGAATTTATTTCTATAGTAGATTTTATGCTATGCTACGGAAATAATACAAACGTAGTGCTAAAGATAAAAAAAGAACTATTTTTACAAATGTAGTGTGTTTAAGTCATAAAAACAAAAAAAAAAGTTAGATTCATTTTACACCTAGCGATCTATTTGGGCAAATGAAGTTGAGTTTTTATGTTTCTTGACCTCGGCATATGAAAAAAAATAACGATTTCGGCACTATTTCCGGCCAATTTTCTTTCCATAACGCGAGCTAGGTACCCAATAGAACTGGGTTGTCTCAGGAACGTTCCGGTTATCTTGAACTCGAATTCGACATTGTAAATTAAATAATTTTGTAAAAAAAAAACACAATCCTTAACTCGACATAGTAATTTAAATAAAATTTGTAAAAAATAAAATAACAATCCTGAACTTGGTATTTTTATTTAAAACAAAAAAAAAAAAATATAAAAAAAAAAACTTTCCCGATCTTGACATTGTAATGTAAATAAAATTTTGTAAAACAAGAACTAATCCGAACTCGACAATGTAATTTATATAAAAGTTTGTAAAAAACTAAATACTTACAAGAGTAGAGAGTTTGATATGTGCCGAGGCACAACTCATCTATGTAGAACATCTCCATCAAACAAGTTCTAGTCTTGCCCCTTACTCTTGTGATGGCGACTCTCGTCTTCTCGCGAGAACAGTTTGTATTGTTCTCAGACTCAAGTAACAGACTCACATAGACCAGGTAAGTGCCAGAGTGACGTATTAATACAGAGTTGTTGTAGATGGTTACCCCCCTTGAGTATGTGCTCCCTTTGTCACGATTAGACGGAGTACGAATGGCTACATTTGATTCTCCTTTCACTTCTGCAGGTAAAAAAAAATTGTTTATATTTTAAGAAATTTAAAATAAGAATAAATAATTGTATAAAACTATATTTTTTCTTCTTCTTTGTTCTTAATTGAAAGGGATTTCCTCAAATACAGTTAAGTATTACGTGTCAACTGGTTAAGCGCCATGTAGGCCGCTGACTCCGACTTCAGCCTGCTTTTCTTTTTGGATTTGCTTCGAACCAAGAACTAACTACAAGACAGCAGTTGGTTGATTTTGGATTTTATCTCTCTTAGAAAGTTTGCTGTTCCCAGCATCCTCTGCCGGGGGTTTGAACTCGGGACGTTACGGGTCAGCAGCTAAGAATGAAACCGACTCGACCACGCCGACCTAAACTAAATTGTTTGCAAGTTCTTTAAAATTAAAATGCCTATGTTAATACAAACAAAGTGGTGACTGCATTGTCATGAACTTCAAGGCTATAGATTATCATTCAGTGCAAGTCGAAACAAAGTGTTGTTAGTAAAGTACCTACCCTTACCTTCAGTCAAACTAGCCACATTCACATGCGCACTAACTGGAATAAATATGAACCTTTTTCTGTTTGCTTCATTCCAACCTGTGAAATACATAATTATATTTAATGTGCTTTATTTTGGCGATTGGTTGCGAAAAAAAAACGTGTTATATGTGTAGGTGTTACGACTGTATTATGTAGATATCTAAATGTTACTTTCAACGACCCATTTTGTCCTAATAAAGGAATGAAGGTGTTGGGGAGATGAGGACGATGCTACGATGAACATAGCTAAATTTTCATTATCATCATTTCCCGTTCGTGCCCAAGACACATGTGGCAGATGAAGTAGAGTTCAAATGCTTCAGAGACCACGGCATATGAAGGAATAGCGTGGTCAGCACTATTCCCAGCCGCCTTTATTTCCCTAACGTGAGTCAGCTACTCTTCAGAGCTGGGTGGATTCAGGGACGTTCCGCTGATTTGAATCCGGATTCGAACTCGAGACTCTCGGGCTACATTTTCCCATACGAACAGACTTCGGTTTTGTCATTTGTCTTTAGATTTTTGCGGTATAGGACAAAGGTTTTAAAGTTCTAATTAACTTTTTGTGGGGTATAAAAATACACACTATAAACTTTAAAATGAAACGAAAATGTAAATGCCGATCAATTAAAATCGGTACAATTAAAATTTTCCCTGGGGTAAACAAAATCTTCACTACTAACTTTTTATACAACTAAAACATATAACTACAGCTTTAATTTAACCTTTATGATTTACAAATTCTATGGGGTAGAAAGTCAACTATAAATAAAATTCAAACTTTGAAAAGAAATGTAAATACAACTTTAACTGAAGTGCCAATTTTCTCAAAGTTACGTGAGAGACTGTGAGTAGTTTGCTTATGACACAGCAAAATTGATACCCCAATCTACAGAAAGTTCATCTCATCACCATCAACACTTAACGGCAACAATATCTCCCAAATGACTCCTTATAATAATTATTAATAACAAGGCTTATTAAAGAGGCGTCTACAAAAAATTCCCGAAAAACACTTGTCCGAATGCCGTTTTCCCGAATGGATACTAGCCCGCGTAGGACGAATTCCCGAAAGCCACTTATCCATTCGAAAAAACGTCCGGCTACCGAGTTCGGTAAAGAGGGAAGGGTGGGACCCATGAAAAATAAATACTGATCCCCTGTATGCCTAAATTAACGATAGCGCTGTTTTAGAGAATATTCTAATGAATTTATTTCTTACTTCTGATCCTGTCTTCTCTAATTGACATCTAAAAACAAAAGAACAAATTTAAAAAATTAATTAATATAAATTTGAAACGACAGTACATATATCTGATGGATAAGAAAGTAAAAAGCAACATAATGTATATGAAGTTATTGCAAGAAATTATGCCAATATTAGCATTAATCAGTGCTGTGTTATTAGTGTATAGGTGGCTAGAAATCGTCAGTGATTTTGGTATCGAATGTGTATTTTTAGTAGTCTTTACTTAGGAATAAACAACAATTACTAATTTGCTAAAATATCAATTGTGAATGAAGAAAAAAAAAATTCATCGAAGGATAGATAAAATTGGTCAAAAAAGTAGATCTAATGTGAAGACTTCAATGGCTGTAAAGTAAGGTGTGGCTTTGTAGTGGTTGGTGATGTTTGATAATTGTCAGTGGTTCACCGTGTTTTTCAGTAATGTGAAATGTTTATTGGTTGCTCACATTGTCTGTCAGTGGTTTAGAGAGATATAAAGTGAACTCTGGTGTTTAAAACGGCTGAAATGTGAATGTTTTTGAACATTGCTATTCACCATGGTGTATTGGGCAAGTGAAGTAGAGTTCACCTGTTTCTTTGACCTCGGCATGCGAAGAGATAATATGGTCAGCGCTATGATCAGCAGCCTTTACTTATCCTAAAGTGAGTTAGGTATCCATCCCAGTTGGGTGGACTCAGGGACGTCTAATGGCTTGAACCCTGGTTTGAACTCGAGACTAACGGGTTAACAATAACATTCTAACTCTCTAACTCTAGGTCACTCCATCCCATATTCACCACGAAAAAAAGACATAAATACACATCAACTCACCAGCTGTATAAGCGCGGACATCTGACCAGCGGTCACAGCACAGCACATTGTCGTGCTGTTGACTACCCTCTGACTTAAACGCTCCAACAGCACTACATCGCTGTCTTCTCTCAAACGCTGACATTCAACACAGGTCTCATGTGATCCAACTCCACGTGATAACTCATACATCATTGTTTCAGTATACTTAAAACTCATCCATCCTACCGTTGTTAAGCTCGTGATTAAAGACACTATTATGATTATTATAAGACAACGCTTTCTAAAACAACATTGTTTTGTTGAATTGCTGTTAGATGAAGATCTTGCGTACGGGGTCAGTAGATTTTGGTAGACAGGTGATTGGTGATTATTTAAATTGCGAATGGTAGTCGATTGACGAACCGGAAACGGATAAGATTCCGGGTCATCATGCTTGTCGTGCGTTCCGTTGGTGGGCGTGTCGATTGTGCAGTAGGTGTGGTCTGATCTTGTAGTGTTGAAGTACTCACTGTCACCTGTCTGTGGTGTTAGATGCGTCAAGCGGACTGGGGAGACACCTGCGGAGTTTTTTTTCTTTGACATTCTATAGGACTTTTCTTATTAAAGATACCATACGGTGTCGTTATCTCATACTTGAAAATATCGTTGAACCTGTCCTATGTTTACACCTGTAAGAGAAAATGTTGTTACACAAGTTTATGAATGTATGTGATTTAATAATGCAGCTACTCTACAGGGAGGGGGTGTATTTTGTATTACAATTGTTTTGGCTACTTTTGATTTGCAAAATGGCCGATTTCGACAAAATTGTCTGGCACACACCCCCACCCCCACCCCATATATATATATATATATATATATATATATATATATATATATATATATATATATATATATATATATATATATATATATATATATATATCGCACATACACCATTAATAAAGAACGAAACGACCTCTAAACAAACTTTCGGTTTCTTACAGACCGTTTTTATTGTCCTGATATTACTTACTAGGAAATGGGTAGTCTTATGCCTATATTTGTGTAATAATTTTTCAACAAGTTTGCTCTGCACAGTGGTATAGGCCTATTTATCCATACATTATCGACTCATCTCAATGTAGTTGTAAATACGATTCTAAAAACTATACGGTTAATTAACATAGCGTTAACCCACCCCCTCCCATCCCTCCCTTTCTACACACACACACACACACATATATATATATATATATATATATATATATATATATATATATATATATATATATATATATATATATATATCGCATATATAAAGTTAAAAGAGCGAGACGTCCTCTAAATAAGCTTTCGGTTTCTTTCAGACTGTTTTTATCTTCCTGATATTACCAAGAGCAGATAGTCTTAGGCCCATAATTTTCTAAACACACACACACATACAAACACACATACACACACATAAACACACATATACACATACATACACATACTCACACACACATACACATACACACACTCACACATACACACACACATACACACACACATACACACATAAACACACATACACACTTACACACATACACACATGCACACATACACACATACTCATACACACACACTTACACACGAGTAACCGTCAAGTGACCAGCAAACGTGAATATTAATAGCTTAATGGACATAGGCCTACTCTTCAAAGGCCCAGGGAGGCGTGGAGGCGCACGGCGGGAAGCAGCTGGCAGAGACAGTACTGTCTGGGTGGGGGGGGGGGGGGGCTGCCAAGAAAATTGCCGGAGACATACAAAAGTGGAAGTAGCACCCTGTGGCGGCTCCATATTGTGTCTTGGGCAGAAAAGGAAAATCGTGACGTTTCTATAATTGGCATATACACTGTGCTATATGTAGTACAAATATACCATCATGCAAGGATCGGGGATTCCCCCAATCTGTTCTCTATGTCCTATACCCCTTTTCCTCCCGCCCATAGGTATCTTGCTACAAATATCACCGGGAAATTGCCCTGAACAAATGATGGTAGAAATTGTGGCCGATAAAACCGACACTACATAATTATGCAATCAGCAGTCACTCTTGCCAGATTGTAGTGTCAGGAAATTATTTTAAAACTAAAAAAAAAAAGAAAATACTCACATAGAAAGCGACCACCACAGCTTATGCTAACTCTTGTATGATTATGATTTGTGTATTTTTGTTTAATTACAAAATTATTTTTAGACTTTTTTTTCCTTAACAATGACATAATTTGGTCTACATTACTTAATTAGGATTGCAATCTATAGATAGAAATCATCAGCAAACTGATAAAAATAGGTGTATACACATTTAAGACTTGTTTACTTTTCAAATGGATGAATATAAAGTAAAGAATCTTCTTTAGTCCTAGTGATCCATTGGGTAGATGAAGTAGAGGTCATGTGTATTTGCCTCGGCATACGAGAAGAATGTGTGGTCAGCACTTTACCCAGACGCCTTTAATTTCCCTAACATGATTTAGGTACCCATTAGAGCTGGGTAGACTCTTGAACGATCTAATGACTTGGACCCGGATTTAAACTCGAAACGTACGTGTTAGCAGCCTAGCTTGTACTATAATCTTAGAATTTATAGCCTGTTGGTGAAGTAGAGTTCACCTGTTTCGGTGACCTCGGTATATAAAAGAATATTGTATTTAGTGTAGTTCATATTTTCCTTTTGCAATTGCAACCATGAGCTTTACCGACTCGATTTTTTTACCAATCTGACACATCGCCAAACTCGAACAACATAATCTTCAGAGCTCGCGGTTTGGTGGACAGCGTTAGACATTGGTTTGAACCCAAAACTTTCAGTAGGGACCCAGTAGCATGCAAACATTCCACCATTCGAACATTTGTAAACATGTAGGTTAGCATGCAATTTCACTTTACTTTCACATGGATTTGATCAAATTACTAAATAACACAAGTTTGAATGTTCTTCTCGTACACAAATCGCAGGTTTAAAGTAGGAATATTGGAAGGGGGTGGACCTAGTAGCCTATAGATGGGGTACAGGGGTGGGAGGGGGTAGTTAGTTTCATAGAACGAATATAATAATTCACAAAAATCCGCCAGTTATGACAGGCCCTTGGTTCTTTATACCGATTCAAATGGGTTTCAAAAGCAACCAAGTTTAATGGCCTGGTTTAGTAAAAAAGAAAGCCTTTCCAACTAGGATTCCCTTTCACCTCTAGTTCCTTCTGCTGAACAAACATTAATTTTGTAAGGATATATTGAAATGAAAACCCTAACTATTGGTGCCGTAGGCCCATAACCCAGACAAGGAAGAAATCGTCTACACTTTTGGGTCGTACCCTGTACTGGACTAGGAAGAACTCTACAACGGGTGACCTGGTTTTGTGTCCGGTTCATTAAAATGTCCATAATTATCAGATAATCAATGTGACGTCTCTCAACTAGATCTATACTCTAAATAATGAAAATTGTTTTTTCATTAAACTAAAATATCATATATAAATATATATATATATATATATATATATATATATATATATATATATATATATATATATATATACATATTTATATATATATATATATATATACATATATTTATATATATATAAAACTAATGTGTATTTTTTATGCGAGTCATATTTTGTCTTCAATTTCCCATTTAATTTAGGCAATTTCTTCTTTTTTTAGATAGGCGACAGGTCTATTTGGGCATATGTCAAAATAGTAAAAGGGTTGCTCGCTTTATATTTAAACGTGTTGAATATTTCATAATCTAATAATGACTTGCTATAAATATTATACCTAAAGATTTTTAGTATGTTTTAAATTTTCCCAATGTGTACATAGGCCTACTTTTTAGAAACACACATCCTGCCGTGTGTGACTCACACTCTCTCCGTCATTGTCGTGTTTAATGAAAGTTGTCACATTTAAAACGAGACAATTTGTCATTTGGTTTTACAATCTTAAGTGTGTTATTTTATTCCTCAAAAGAATACACGCCCCGCGAGTGAGTCGAATAAGTAGAGTTTCTACTTGTCATGCTTTTGTTGTTTAAGACTGGTCAGTTGTCACATTACACAGAAAGTATCAGACTTGCTCAATAGACAAATTTGGATTGGTAATTTTTGTCTCCTGACTCAGTGGAAATTATCACAATTTACTGACTCCAACAGAATCGACGCACTGTGGTGACTAATCTCATTAACAGTGACACAAAAGTGTCACAGAAAAAAGTCAGTTTTCGCTAGAAAATCTTATTTGAAAGAAAGCCACAGAAATAAAGGCATACACATTTTCTAAGAAATATATCGATTTACTTGCTGGAAATTGTAAAATAATGCGCTTTTATACATGTGCGTGGTGTTTTCTTAAATAAGATATTTAAAAACTTTAATAATCCGACTTTCATCTTTTTTACAAGTGAAAATACTATAAGATAATGTATAAACCAGATGTGTATGGGTTTATTTTTTTTTTACTGTAGGTCTTTCCTCAGTCAGCCTTATCCCCCCACTTTGTATATTTTTAACAATTTTTTTTTTCAATTACAGCCTTTATACCGTGTAGGCTTTTTGTCTTGTTACACGTCTTGCTATGTCTTTAAATAGAATAAGACTAACCTATTGCAAATGTAATATTTAATTATCATTAGCCAACAACAATAACAGAAATTAAAACAAAGCATAAACAAACAAACCAATTTACTATGTACAAATTTACATGTTTATAAACAATAATTAGCATAATAGGTCTAGTATTTACATTATAAATCACATCAACTCCCACAAAATACATTTAAAAAAATAATGCAAATGTCAACGTGAATAATATTACACTCTAAGCCTTTTGTAGGCATAACAGATTTATAAAACAAAATAGTTTTTAAAACACTGTTATTTTTACATATAATATATGTACATATTTATAAAAAAAAATATTAATGTAATATTTGTATGTCACATTGGACAAATATAAAAAAAATGTAAAACGGTTAGAATTTAAAAAAAAAACAACAGCTTAACACAGGTAGCCTATCTGCCATCATAAGATTTAAAACAAATGAAGGCTGTCAACATTGCGACATCATGTCAAGTCATCTTGAGACTTAGAAGATGCTTTAAGTAGTTTTCTAGACCATGCAGCCACCATTTGTGTTTTTTTCAATGTTAACATCGAGTGGCACTGTTCAGTATGATGTTTACAAAAAAAAAACCATTAGATGCTTGAAGACGAATTTTCTAGCAATAATAGGCTACAACTTTTATGATTGAGCAAACATGTATTGGATTGAGATTTCAGTGAGTACTGACATTATCAAAGCAATAATAATAAAAACATTCAATTTTGGAATAAGTAATGAAATCTTTGGAAATAGAAAAACTTCTACAATAACATTTAGGTAGGCCTTAATGAATTATGCATGGGTAGCCTATGAAAATTAAAAAGAAATGAATGGTTAATAAAAAATCCATAATGTTTAGATGTTTAAATAATATTAATTTCATTAACCTAGTAAAATAGCTTTTCTTGGTAATTAAAAATGTTTTATAATATTACTTGTCTTTAGAAAAACTGTAACACTTGGTTACTGAAGTCTAAATTAAACTTGTTTTACAGTCTACTTGAAACTCGACACAAGCTTTAAGATGTGATATTATTACATTGGTTAACCAAGCCTACTCAAATATTAATAATTATAATACAAAAATAATTTTCATTAACTATATTTACATACATAAAAAATCAGAATTTTACTAATAATTAGGCACAAATACCTCAAAAATCAGCCATAAATACTGAAATATTTACTAATGACCAACTTCTAAGAGATAAAGTAAATGTACAGACTATTGCTCACAATTATAAAGCTTTATGGACATAAGATTTGTTTCTTATCTTTTGAAAGACATGTTTTCAATGAAGCCACTAATAGCATTATACTGAATATTAAAATCATTAAAACTTAACATAGACATTTAGTAAAGATTTTTAAAAATTGTTCTAATAAATAACAATAAATCTTTTACTATATTGTAGGTATATAACAGTTGCATACTCTACCAACAGGCTGCATTATACTATTATTATGTGAAGCTAACTGATGTAAAAAGCCATTTACAAGTAATACTCAACAAACATTCTGTTGTAATTTCTGATAAACTATATCTCCTATTTACTGCCTTTTGACTAGGGTCTGTTTGTCTAACAAAGACCTAGTACTAAGTTACACACTGGGGGTATGCTTGTAACTTTTTCTATATAAATATACTTAGGTAATATCAACTCCCTGTAAAAGTCACCTAGTCCAACAGGGGTGCTGAAATGTTGGGTAGAAACTTAATGCATACTTGCAAACTTTCCATGAAATGGAACTTTGAGTAATGAAAGATAGAAACTAACATCATGATTAGCATTCTTCTGCTATTGAGTGATAGTTTTCTGTTCTCAGTACATGATGTGTACTCCATTTAGCTGAGCTAAACGAGACAACAGGGGTCGGCGTGGCCTAGCTGCAGAGAGCTAGAATGCTGACCCCTAAGTCAAATCTGTAGAGTGTCCCTGAGCCCACCCAGTTCTCAAAGGTACTTAACACATAAGGGAACAAAGGCGGGTGGGTATAATGCTGACCTCATTATCTCATTGTATGCCGTGTCTTGGAAGCAGATGAACTTTACATTATCTGACCTATGTGTCTTTGGCACGAATGGGAAAAGATGATGAAATGAGCCAACACTATTGTCTAGACAAGCTAACTTAATACTAACTCCATGAGATGTCAGCTTCAAATCTTTAGCTGCTTCATCTTTTCATCTTCTTCGTTACTTCCGAGCATGACTAGTCCAAAGTACGAGGCCTCACTTTCATATTTTATCTTCCCATCTCCCCCCTTCTCAACATAGATGGAATCACCCTCTAACAGGTTAAATACTGCACCTGCAATAATATTGTAATCAAAGCATTACTTTTTGTATTTTTTTCACATTATTGTATGAAAGTAAACATTTACTTCCGACTTTAATATAACAATTAAACAATCATTAAATGTATATATGTAAATTTGTGTTTTTATATATGTTTATGTATTGTATGTAGATGAGTATAAAGTCTGATTTGTACCTTACTAAGGTTAGGGAAAACAAAGACGGTTTTGTCATTAAACTGACTACACTATTTTCTTTATATGATGTGGTTACAAAAACAGGTGAACTCTACTTCATCTACTAGTCAGGTCCAAGATCGGAAATTTAAAATTTGGAATGTAAACATGGCTATTAATAGCTCGTTAAAATGTCAGGCAAATGTGGAAAACTGTCTTATTCTCTATGATGCTTGGTATTCTTTTTTTTTAAAGTCACTCCCCGACTTTGAGGTTGTTGTTAATGTTGACACAGCAATGAAGCTGTACTCACCAGTATAGCTAGTGTGGTAATCTTTATCACAGGTGTCGCAACAAGTGTGAGCAGCAGATGAGAGGTCACCATTGAATTCCGGCCGAGAGTAGCTATTGCGAACAATGTGGTTCATCCAAGTCTGTAATTGATACAAAATTTTTTTTTAAAAGTCTGTATGTAAGTTGACAGAGAAATTTAACTAAAACAGTGAAAATTTAAATTTAGAGATCACATTAGTTTTCTTCTTCTTTGTTCTTAATTGCAATGTAGGACTAGAATTTCATCCAACACATTTTAGTATTACGTGTCAACATGTTATAAGCCAGTTGACTACAATATTAGCCTGCTTTTTTTTCCTGGATTTGCTTTCATAGCCATGATTCCGCCAAGAACAAACTACAAGAAAACATTTGTTTTGGAGGTTTCTCTCCTGGGCTAGTTGCTATCCAGCCTCATTTCCCCCAAAGATTCGAACTTTGGACTTTTTGGCCTAGCAAACCTGAGCTTTACCTACCCGATCACAATGACCCCAACAATGGATTTAGTCTTACGCTTTGCTTAAGAAACTAAAGTATTAACATTGTAAAAAAAAAAATGCAACTTACCTGGAATTTGTACTGTTTACATGTTTTCTTCTCAGAAGATGGCTGGTAGAATATGCTGGAATACACAAAGTACCATCCGGAGTGCTTGATGGTTATGAAATTTTTTTTGACGATCACCTCCCTGGCGTGTTGACGGCCAGATGGATCAGTTTTTATCTCAGCGCTCAGCTCCAGGTGTGCTCTGTTTTCTTTGTTCAGATTTTCTGGAAAGGAAGTTAGAAACAAAGTTGAAAAAATGCTAAAATAAGATTAAAGCTAAATGACATTAATTGCTATGTGAGAACAAATGTGAGGGGAAAAAATCTCGGTTAAGATAAAAAGTGGTTTGTATAAAAATATATGAATTTAATAAGAACTTGTACAATGTATGTTAAACTAAATATTTCCAAAGCGCATTTAAATTCAATCAATTAAAATATTTTGAAAGAAATTTTCCCAAAGGTACAAATTTAAGGAAGTTTATTAAACTTTACAGAAGAGGTTATACATGTCTATAAATAGCCTACCTTCTGACTCCTTGAAACTGATGTGAGCACTAACAGGACTGAACTTGAACTTGTCAGTGTCTTGATTGTTGGGTACTGGAAATTTAAAGGACAATTTTTGCTATAAATAATGCAAATATGTACCACTTTAAAAAAATAATCTTTATAGGGGCCTAGTTGTTTTTTTTTATACAATATACTGAAAATATATTTTAGAAATTTCTAATGTATTATCAAATTATTTTATAATTACTTTTATTGTAAAGTAAAACACCATCATTTTTTAAAATTTATTTTAGACAAAAAATAAATAAAAACACTGGACACCACTTGTTTTTCTTGAAATAAAACAATTAAAAAATAAAAATAAATAAACATTAAGCCTGTTTGTTTTTAAAAAATAATTGTGATTTAATTTACTTTCAATTGTTTTTTTTAACCTGACGTTAGAAGCACAATAATACTTACTTTTTATGCTCTGTTGTCTGAGTGTCATCTGAAAAGAAGCAGAAGAAAATGCATTTATTAATGAAACAGTGAAATAGTTAACTCTTATCAGCAATTGAAGCAGAGTAGACTATATTCAAAGGTGCTTGAGTTTTACACTACATTTACAATACTCATTGTAACATCAAAGTTACAAATTAGAAAGTTGGAAAACAAACATTTCTAATCCTACTGTGATTTTAATTTTTTCTCAAATATTGGTATAAAAAATTACTGTAATTCTAGTAATACCAATTATATATAGGCATACAGTAACAAATTTTATTAATGTCCCATTTATTAACTACCATGGCGTTATAAGTATTCAGTAACGAAAACTTTATTAAGGTCCCATTTTTAACTACCATGGCTTTATAAGTATTCAATTAACCAGTTTAAAAAAAACAAAACCACTAAACTCACCAATTCAACCAAAGCTGACAGTTGTCCACTGGTCCTGGCGCAACACTGGGTCTTCCCCTTCTCCATTTTGTTTGTCAGCTGTTTGAGCAAGTTCTCATACCCAGGGTCCCCGGACCCGGTAAAGAAGTAGCTGCATTCAATACAGGTCTCGTAGTCTCCTTCTTTGAACATCCCACTCTCCCATGTCGCAGGCTCCTTGTCGAAATACAACAACCCTAACAGAGTCACAGCAACCAGACTGAGAAATAGCGAAACTGTACTCAGGACTATTAATGTGCGTCGACGTAACAGGCACATACGAGGCTTCCTTCTATGGCTGTAGTTTTTATTATGTGGAATGGTAGGCCTTACTAGTGGCTCTATGCAAGGTGTGACTGGTCGAGACAGAGGGGGAGGGAGGGGGGGACCAGGAGCAGGGCGTGACGGTAACGGCCTGGACAGCACAGAGTTTGGGTAGGTGGGAGGGCATGAAACCTGCGTAGTTGGACGTATGGTAATACGTGATGATTGTTGGTACGCAGGGTCGTATACGGAACCAGACCTTATAGAAAAGTTGGAGCTGTTGCTGTTTAAGGAGGACGAGTCGCTCTCCGACTGCATGAGATTGGCTTCTGAGTCATCCGACGACAAATTATGAGAAGTCATTTTCTGTACGTATCTTAATTTTCAAAGCTTAATTATTTGGAAATGTTCATTACATAACAAAGTCAATCACTGCATAAAGAAAGATGCTCCAACAGTTGTTAATACCTGGAGAAGAAAAAAGTTATTTTTTAGGTATTTGTTTCCTAATAATGCTATTCTAAATATCAGCTACACAAGTGAAATAATAATCGATTTCCTATTCATTTTGAAATAGAGATATGGATTTTACTATGAATGTTTCATAACTCAAACCTAAACTAGCATCCAAAATAAAATATAAGAATAGTTAAATTGATAATTAGAAATGTTTCAGTTATGAAGTTTAATAGGCCAATTTATACTTAGATATAGGGCCTATAACTATAATCCAATAAAGATTAGTTATGTAACACAACATTGTTATCTGCTACATCCATAAATAATGGACATAATTAGATCTAGATTGTTACATTGATTAAATAAGTATTCTGATAACATTGATAGGGCATACCATTTAAGATAAACCTAGTGATAGTCTACAAGTCTGTGTACACCAAAACAAATTATTTATATTAGGATTATCATATATTTTAATAAATATTTTATAGTTGTTTTTTGTCCCTGACCTCTCATTTTTATGACAGCGGAAAATAGTAAATAGATCTAGATAGTTTGTAGTTTACTTACTATTTTACTTAAGCATTAAGCACTTGTTGCATTAAATTGATCACAATGACTCAAGAAAGCCTGGATTAAATATTATTTAGGCCAACGGCGAAATAATCTCTAATTCCTAAAATGTATGTGAAGGCCAATTAAAACGTTACGATTACATCTTTAATGGTCCGAAGCCCTAAGGGCAGTAAGAAGGGTTGAGTACCTACGGAGTTGCGCCGCTTCCTTGACAGAACAAAAACTATCCAAACGCGGCAAGTCTAACTGGCAAGTGTTGGCCTAATACTTTGGCCTTTTTATCAGAGGGAAAAACGAAAATGAAAGCGAAATTTTCTTAGAAATTATTTATAATCTACGGACTGCTGGCACAAAAGCTAAGACCACGGAATCAATATTTGCAACTTTCATTATAGACTTTCAAAATATAATTTTAGACCTAGCCTACTTAAACATAAGTCTAAAATTTGTGTCATTTTCCGGACAATAAATATAGAAAATTGCTAGAACATCGTACAGTGGGTGGCTTTAAGTTTAATAGACAGATTGAGTCCTGATTTGATTTGTCCTTAGTTAAATATTAATAATTAATAAGTGATAGATATAATACATATAACAGTAAGAGTAACTAATAGATCTAGATCTAGATCGACTCCTAGTAAATGTAGTAGGATTTAACAATGGACTATTAGGATAAGCCTAATTTTATAATATTGGAAGTAGTTGTTAAAACGTACAATTAACAAAATTAGTTTTAGGCTAGAGGCTAAGTGACTATACTAATACTATATGGCCTAAGTTTATTATCCAGATTAAAAATGTGCCGCATGCCTAGATCCTTATGAATTAAGTAAATCTATTTACTCTCAGATATTTGTTGTATAGGCCTAATGATTAATCATTTCAGAAATTAGATCTAGCTTACAACATGTTACTTTTTTTGTTAGTCCTAATTACTAATTACTAATTATTATTAAACTATTTGCCTCTTGGGCATAGATCTGGAGTCTAGACAAGATCTAGTCTAGATCTATATCTATAGCCAGGTTTGAGAGTAAGTTAAAAAAAACAACTAGATTTCTAATACCGAGCCTCCGCTTACCCTTTATTCATAGATCATAGATCTGTACAACACAGTCTAAATCTAGCAATACACATTTATAATATTTAATATACACACTTTTGCAGACTCTTCTGGGTCTAGATTTCTAGAATCTAGCTAGATCTACGTGTAATGTTATTGGAACTACTAGAATTCTAGATATTATAGATTATACATACAGTGTCTCTTATAGGCTACTATACTAAAATTGAAATGAGATGAAATTTACCTTTTCTCTTTATACCATGCAACAAAACCAAAACTGAATGTGAAACAAACCAACTAAACTAGACCGAAGTCTACTGTTCCTAACTAAGCCTAACGATTGGACGAACTATGTCAGCCTGACGGCCTGGTTCAAACTCTACACAACTAACCAAACCGACACAGCGCGAAGCTATCTTTTATCCTTGACCTAAACTACCCGCCCCAACTCATTGGGAAATTTAAATAGTTATTTTTAGATTTCTTTGACATGGAGATTTCCTTAGGTTTTAGGCTGGTTGAATTTCCAACTTCAAATTGAGGGTTTAGGGGAACCCCCCAAGCTAAAGCATAATGGCTTACTTTTTTTTTTGTTCATTCAAGGGAAGCCAGCCGTGTTCTTGATTGAAATGACAATAGTCCGATAGTCTATCCAAAACGATAATGTTAATAAAACATTGAACTAAGCTAGAGGGTAAAAGTCTGTAACATTTTTATTCACAACTATTGAAACAGATGTTATATTTTTTATACAGGCACATAAAAATAAAACACTAACATTTGGAAAACCACTTCTTTGACCTAGTTTAATTCTATTATTAGATTTCAAGGAAACCGAAACAACTAGCGGTGACGTTTGAAGCAAACTAAGCCACGTTTTTAGCTAGCAGGGACAGAACCACTCCATCACTCAGGGTTTAAGCATAACGTTAATTATAAATGTGTATTCGGATGTGTGTAGCTTAAATGTAATAAAGGGAGTTTTTATTTTAAAGTGGTGTTTATTATAAGTTAGGGTTTTCTAAAAATGTTTGACTGTTTTGAAGGGATTCAAAAAGTTTGACGTCAAACTGTAAAAATTTTGAAAAATATTTTTGGAAAGTGAGCTATGGCAATTAATTCCCAATTTTCAAAGACACTTGTTCTTGGTTGTTTTTTTTTTTAAATTGTTTAAAAAAAATTAAACAGTAGACACCATGTTGACCCAACTGTTAACATTTTAGAATAATAAATTCGCTGTTTCTTTCGGGAAAAAAAAACGGTAAATGAAAAAAAGGAGGGAGGGGGGTCAGTGTGTTTGATGAGTGATATTTTAAAGGAGGTCAGACGTTTTTTGATGATGGGAGGGGTTAAAAGCGTGGCGTCATCTGTTGACTACTCCCCCCCCCCCCCACCCCCCTACTGCTTTAGGCAGGGGACTAGAAATGTTGCATCGCAATCATTATGCGATCCCTACTCTCTGAACAAATTTACCACCAGCATTTAAAAGTTTATGATTCTTTCTAATAAGTTTAAAGCGTATAGTGGGATAATGACTCTTCGTCATAAGCCAATAGGCCAAGCAGTATCAAAATAATAACGGTAGGGATCAGTTTCTAGTGAAACATATGCAGCCGGAATGTCATGGATCAAACTTGGAAGAATCGCCCAAAACCAAGTAAAATGGAGAGATCTGTCTGAGTCCCTATTCTCCACATTTGTTCAACGGGAATGCTGATGATGATGATGCTGATGATGATAATGATGATGATAATTATGATGATTATGATGATGGTGATGATGATGATGATGATAATTATGATGATGATGATAATTATGATGATGATGCTGATGATGATAATTATTATGATGATGATGATCATGATCATAATTATGATGATGATGATGATGATGATGATAATTATGATGATGATGAAGATGAGGATGACGACGACGAGGGCGAGGACGATGATGATGATGATGATAATTATGATGATTATGGTGATGATGATGATGAGGATGAGGATGACGACGAGGACGATGATGATGATGATGATGGTGATTATGTTGATGATTATGATTGTGATTGTGTTTACTGTGATTTTCATAACCATTTTTATTATGATTATGATGATGATGATTATGATAATACATTTATTTATCAATTAAAGTGGAATATTGGGAAAGATTATTTGAAACATCATCCCTAAGACAAAATCCTGCCTGAGCCACTGGCTTAGAGATATGAATGATCATCACATCTGTGGTTTTTCTCAAATTTATATTTTTAACATTGCAATCCAAAAGATGCTAAATTTAATTTCTCGCTTTCTAACGTGAACTTAGTTAGCTGTTTGTGATTCATGGCGCTTATGTAGCCTGGCTATAAACTGGGACACGTTTGCTGGCTTGTGACTGAACCCAAGGTCACAACTGAAGTGTGTCGTCTGTTACATGGTAAGAGACCGTGCGTGTCTTACCGTCAGGCAACACGGTAACAGGCAGAGGCGTAGCGACCCTTCCCGGCGCCCGGGGACAAACTTTCGATTTGCACCCCCCCCTCAGATAGATTTTCAATTTGTTTTTCCAACCCATTTTGACGCCCCCTAAGGTCGGCGCCCGGGGACATATTCCCCCCCCCCCCCCACGCACCCCCCTCGCTACGCCTCTGGTAACAGGCCCTGTGTGTATAAGGTACAGGGGAGTTGATTGAATCACCGCGTCTAAGATGACCAAGTTCATGCTACAAACCAAATTTCAATGGACGTCTTTTTTTTTGGTTGCTATGGGTTACTTGTCGGACGGATTGGTCTAGCGGTAGAGAGCTGGACTGCTAACCCTGTAAGTCTCGAGTTCGAATCCGGGTTAAAGTCAGTAAACCGTCCCTGAGTCCACCCAACTCTGATGGGTACCTAACTCACGTTAGGGAAAGTAAAGGCGGCTGGGCATAGTGCTGACCATATTATCTCTACATATGCCGAGGTCACAGAAACAAGTGGACTCTACTACACTTGCCCCATAGACCTTCAGGTTTGAAAGGGAAACTTATTAGTTACTCGATACAAAGTTTAAATTAGTGTCATGTCAGGCGCTCACACTAAACGTGATAGATAATTCATTAGTCAACTAAAATTAATGAACATGATGTCATACTTTCAGTGCGAAACGTGATTACTAGCTCAAACCCAATGAAAAATACAATGGTCTTGAATTAAGTTTATAACATGTAGGAGTAGGGTCAATGTGTTTGGGTGCCACTGGTTACGATACCAGCGGTTGACATCCCCCCCACACCCCCCCCACTCACACACGTACACTGTGAATTGTACCATTTATAGTTTTTTTTCTCTTTTTGAAAAATTTCAAGTGCCCCCCTCCTGAAGAAAACAGTCTGGAAGAAACTCTGCTTTTTGGTCTTTATGTGATGTCCAAATATCACTTTTTCTTCCGGACTTTTGTCTTGTCTCGGGGGGGGGGGGGGGGGGGGCGGACACTGGTAAAAGTATGTTTTCTATATAAATTCGATTTCGTTGGGAGGGGGGGGGGGGGCGGTAGGGTAGACTTTTTTCCTCACGAAGAGATGCCTGGAAGAAACTCTGCCTAATATGTGCGTCTTGGTGTTTTTAATTTTAATTCAATTAGAAAACATATAGTTATCTCAGTAATTATGTGTGCGGATGAGGGTCAGCACTTTAAAGTGGGTCTACTATTCTTTAAACAATATATAGTGTTCTACCTCCCGCATACGCCGTCCTATATGTGTATGATTACTCTTTCGAACCTGTCAGTCCATAGATTGGATGAAGTAGGGTTCACATGTTTCCGTGACCTCGGCATATATAATATATAGTGTGGTCAGTACAATACACAGACTCCTTTCCCAAGTTTTAGTCAGGTACCCACCAGAGCTGGGTGGACTCAGGGAGGTTTTACTGACACGAACCCGGGATTTAAACTCGAGACTTTCTGGTTAGCAGGCGTAAGCTCTACCACCAAACTACGTCGAGTATGTGTATTCAGTTTGTTGTTTATTTAAATGTACAGACGGTGTTTACTTTTTTTCTCGCTTTCAATCATCTGGCCAGTATGACCCAATCCAGTCATTTGACAAACTCTTACAAACTATTTCCCCGTAGCTTTGACGCAAATAAAGCTGTCAATGTTTATTTTGTTCAAATTTACACCAAGACAGACAATGCCAGGCGTAGCTTGCCGTTACCATTTTTTAACATTTTTTCACCCAGAGTTTTCATTTGAGTTTGTAATTTTAAAATATCATTTATATTCGTTTTCTACGAACGCCGAGTAATAAAATAAAAAAAGAGTTTGATAATACATATTTGAATGTAATTTCCTATTTAAAATATCACCATTGGCTAATATTTGTGCAGAAAACTTTTGAATCGTGCCTGGTTAAATGCCTATATTAACCTGAAACAGGAAGTCAAATATTTTCTTCATAAATTGTTTAAATGTTCCCTATTCTTAATATAACAGGTCTTTATATCATTCTATATAGAATCTACATGTTTTTGTGTCGTGGAGATGAACAGTTGTTCATTTCCTTTTAACTGAAGGACCAAACAAGGAACTCGTGATAGCGATAGCGGCGATAGCCTATTACAATTTCATAGAAAATACAATCATTTTATCCAGCTCAGTTAAAAAAAAAAAAAAAAAAAAAAAAAAAAACCAAATGATGTAGGTGATTTTATCTCAGTCGATGACAATTAAAATTTCCCAATTCGAGTCGGGTCTAATTTAAGACTTTTATGACATCATATATTTTATTTTAAGAGCGTCGACGTCTTTACATACATGTGTAAGGAACTGTTTCATCTAGTTTTATAGTTCGACAATTTATTTCCTCCATCGCGACTCATCTCGCAATGACTGCTGTAAGGGTCATTCCAGAATTGTGTGAGATGTGGTAGAAATGTATTATTTTATATTCTAAAAATGTTTTTATTTCATTGCTTCGTAATCGTAGAAAACCGGACCATATTAGAAAGAATATTGCTGGGTTATTAAATTGGGTGAGGGAGTTTAAACATTTGAATCACACATTGGTCCATTTTGAGCTGTACAGAAAGAAAACTGTTCACATTACGTAGATCTAGATTCTATATCAAGACTATTATATTTGCAGTGACACTAATGAAAATTGCTATCGTTTCCTATGTAAACACAGTTAAGTGGTAACGTCTAAGCCACACAATTTAGCATGGTGGGGGTAGAAACACCCCCCCACCCCCGCAACGTATGATGAAAAGTGAATCAACCGCGTTAAGACAAAACAACGAAATGACACCGACAAATAGGCTCCGTACAAAAATGAACCCCGACAAAAAAGAAGTACTGTGCACCGGATAAAATGAATGTTTTATGTCATTCGTAAATACAAGTTAATTATTTGACCCGCATTTTGATATTACGTTTCTACACTAAAGCAAACAATGTATATTATCGTTCCAAAATTAAAAAAAAATATAATAAAACACCACATTTAGAGAAAAAAAATGTAAGTAATTGTTGACGTTTGCTTAAAATATGAGACGTAGCTACACAGTGTAACAAAAACTTCCAATAACTTCTCGCCGCTTTTAAAAATATCAATCCTAATTTATTCAATGTATGTGATGTAGATCTATATCAAGATTATTATATTTGCAGTGACACTAATGAAGATTGCTATCGTTTCCTATGCAAACACATTTAAGTGGTAACGTCTAAGCCACACAATTTAGCATGGTGGGGGCATGTTTGAGATGAGGTTGAAAAACATTTGTCCCTCTCATAATATTTGCAGAGCCCGCCCCCCCCCCCCCCCCCCGAAAAGATGCGTGGAAGATACTGTTGGCGGGGGGCGGGGGTAACAGTTGAACAACTATGTATTAGATGTTTTTAATTTAATTTAAAAACTAAACAAAAATATCAGAATTGTTTTAACATTTTTAATTTTAAAAATTGTTAAATAATCTCTACCTCACAACAAGTAGACAGAAATTTGACTCCGACTTCAACAAGAAAGATGAAAGCTACTTCTAACTTCATGCACCTAGACTGAATTCAATCAACCTTCCTCTCCACAGCAATACACGCCGTTACATATCTCACATAACTTCATAATATATCAGCACCAACATTCATTCTAACTAAAATACACATACAAAACACACATCACAACAAACAGAACAATTTGTTGGAATCGTCCATAAATGGCGTCACACTCGTAGGGGGGAGGTGGGGTCTGTAATTTTGTGATGGTGTGTAATCAGGGGGAGGGGGGTCAGATGGTGTGACGTTACACTTTTGCATTATAAAAAAGCAATTTTAGTAAACGAGTTTTAGCCGTTATTTCGCGTTTTATAAAACTGTTTTAATAAATTGTAATAGGAATTGATCAAAATACTCTATGTTAAAAGAATTCTGACAAGATTTTGGAAAAATATCGATGTTTTAAGAAAAATTCAACAGCAACTTTGAGATGGGTTGTAGGCTGAGTTGTGACGTCATTTTATGGGGGGGTGGTCTGGCTTTTTGTGACGAAGTGTGACAGAGGGGAGGGAGGGGGGGAGGAGGTAAAAATCGTCAAAAAAGTGTGACGTCATTTATGGATGACCCCTTTCAGTAATCGAAGAAGACCCCCCCCCCCACCCCATTTTCCACGGAGACATACTCAGGTAAAATATCTAGACCACTTTTTATGCCTGCCCGTAGGAAACCCTTATGATGTAGGTATGGTATTAGATTTAGTATACGTAGTTTTATAAAATATGAACCAGGGAGGGTCAAATTAGTAACGTAGCGTCCGTTTTTTTATTTAGTATGGTTATTTGAGAAAACAGAGGGAGACTTTATGACTCATTACTAAGGGGATGGTTTGGGTTGTATGGTTGGTTGGTTTCTTTTAAGATTTTAGGTTAGGGTAAGCGGTTGATGTCACAAGTAAGGCGAGGATGAGGGTTATTGTTCGGTATCAATATCGGAGAGGCCTAGCGTTACAGAGCTAGGTTGCTAACTCGCAAAACCATTCCTGAGTCCACCCAGCTCTGATGGGTACCTAAATCACGTTAGGGTAAGTAAAGGCAGCTGGGCATAGTGCTGACCACACTATCTCTTCATATGCCGAGGTCACAGAAACAGGTGAACTCTACTTCACTCCCCAAAGATCGTTAGGTTTCATACATTACTTCGATTGATTTGTTCCACTGAATTTAAAAATACCTCATAGTATACAATAATATATTGTCACAACACACATACAGACAATAAAATCATAGTAAGAAATTAACAAAAAAATTGATTTCATCAGAATATTTATTTTAAATCTTTCATGAATCCGTCACGCTAGCAAAAAAGAATGTAAATTAAAAGTATCGTAGGCCTATACTTTTATCATATGAAAGCCTTCTGCGATTTTTTGTTGTTAAAAAGCCATTTAAAGTCAGCAAAACTTTGATAATAAAGTACATATGTACTAAACATGGTAAACATATTTTAAACAAATCTACAGGGATATTTTAAAATTATTAACTTGTTGATAACATGAGTGTATACAATTAATTGAAATATTTTATTTCAAGCTAAAATTATAAAATGTATATACATATATACAACATATGTGAATATACAACAACACAAACACAAATTAAAAGTATCGTAGGCCTATACCTTTATCATATGAAAGCCTTCTGCGATTTTTTTGTTGTTAAAAGGCCATTTAAAATCAGCAAACTTTGATAATAAAGTACATATGTACTAAACATGGTAAACATATTTTAAACAAATCTACAAGGGATATTTTAAAATTATTAACTTATGATAACATGTATAAAATTAACTGAAATATTATATTTCAAGCTAAAATTATAAAATGTATATACATATATACAACATATGTGAATATACACAAACACACAATATTATATACATACACACACATGTATATATATATATATATATATAATATATATATATATATATATATATATATATATATATATATATATATATATATGTATGTATATATATATATATATATATATATATATATATATATATATATATATATATATATATATATATATATATATATATATATATATATATATATTATATACAATTCTTCAAATTTAAACTAAGTTGTAATTTTCAAACAACTGTGAATAAATCATCCTAGTTACCATAAAAAAGTATCACTATGTTGAAAAACTAAGATCTATTCTTATACCTTACTCGTGTAGAAATCTAGAGTAATACTTCCTACAAAAATTCTATACATATATGATATCTTACTAATATTTCCTACAAAGTTCTTCTGAGAAAATCACATGCACAATCCATAAACACGACATAAGCTTAATAGATATTAATATTTCAAGCTTTATTACACAAACAAAAACAATTGGTCAAGATACTATCCAAATAAATCACAAATATATCACAGTATTGCTTATTAAAGTGGTTTTTATAGCTTGAGCAGTAAGCATGATAAGATTTGCATACACATAGTGTATTTTATTGCAGCAGTTCTGCTATATATTTCTCATTTTTAAGGCAGAAAAAATCCCATCAATTTTTATTGCTGAATTCTGCTAAATTTATTTTTATTTAGGTTTATTAAATTACCATCAGTTTTTTTTTTCTGCAGTATTGTTACATATTTTTTCTATTTAAGGTTAAGTCCTCTATTTAAGGTTGTTTAAGTCCTCTATTTAAGGTTGTTTAAGTCCTCTATTTAAGGTTGTTTAAGTCCTCTATTTAAGGTTGTTTAAGTCCTCTATTTAAGGTTGTTTAAGTCCCCTATTTAAGGTTGTTTAAGTCCCCTATTTAAGGTTGTTTAAGTCCCCTATTTAAGGTTGTTTAAGTCCTCTATTTAAGGTTGTTTAAGTCCCCTATTTAAGGTTGTTTAAGTCCCCTATTTAAGGTTGTTTAAGTCCCCTATTTAAGGTTGTTTAAGTCCTCTATTTAAGGTTGTTTAAGTCCCCTATCTAAGGTTGTTTAAGTCCCCTATCTAAGGTTGTTTAAGTCCCCTATTTAAGGTTGTTTAAGTCCTCTATTTAAGGTTGTTTAAGTCCCCTATTTAAGGTTGTTTAAGTCCTCTATTTAAGGTTGTTTAAGTCCCCTATTTAAGGTTGTTTAAGTCCTCTATTTAAGGTTGTTTAAGTCCCATATTTAAGGTTGTTTAAGTCCTCTATTTAAAGTTGTTTAAGTCCCATCATTGCGTTCTTGTCACTGCCCAACATAACAAGCCCCATGAAAGACGATTCCTTTTTATATCCCACAAGTCCACTCGCGGTAACCTCGATGTAAATCTCGTCGCCCTCCATCAAGTTGAACACTCCCGCTGGTAAAGAAAATTATATATATATATATATATATATATATATATATATATATATATATATATATATATTTATTTATTTATTTATATATATATATATATATATATATATATATATCTTTTATTCTTGAGATCATTTGTCCGTGAGATATTTAGTCGGAGGTTTTTTGTTTGAGATTATTTGTCCTGAGTCCATTTGAATAAATGAATGGACTATACGAGTTTATATGATAACCTGTGCAGATGTTTATCAACTTTACCTGTGTAGCTTGTATGGTAGTCTGCTGCACAGTTACTACAGCAGGTGTGAGCAGTTTTAACCAAACAACCTGTCCTGTCGGGTCTGTTACGCTTGTGTCGCATTATGTAATTGCCCCATATCTGAAAGTGGAATTTTAAATTTAGCTCTCTTCTCCTTCGTTCTTAAGTAAAGGATTTTCACCAAAACGATTAACGCTACGTGTCAACCTTTTATGAGCCATATAGGCCGTTGATTTCGGCCTGCGTATCTATTTGGATTTATTCACCCAAGAACAAGCCACAAGGCAGCAGTTGTTTGATTTTTTTTCTTTTTTTGAGTTTTCTCTACTTGATGAGTTGCCGCCCCCTTCTAACAAGCTTTGTAAATTTAAGTTCGAAATCGTGATTTTTCGGTTTAGCAGCCATGAACTTTACCGACCCGACCACACGGAACCCACATGTTAGCTCTAACTTTGGTAGAGACTATAAATAAATCTATAAAAATATACAAGTCATAAACTAAAATAAACTTAAAACTATCTTAGAAAGTTATCAATCATTCAAGATCATCTACGTATACTATACCGATTCAACAAAATATCAAATTCGTAACAAGTAATTTTTTTAACAAAATGTTCGTTAACATATATGTTTGTGCTCATTTAAAGCAGTATAATAAGAAGTAAATTGTGGTTTATAAAACACCTGACATTTTCTTTATATTCCCGTTTGTGTCTGATATATTTTATTGCTTTCAGAAAATAATTCTTTACACAATTAGTACTATAAGATAGCGCATATGTATACAACGTTTGTTCAATATTTGTACACGATGAGGCAATATTGAAAAAAATGCACACGATTTGTTCAAAGATTTGACAAAATAAGTTACTTTTCTCAGCCAAAAAAATATGTTTCCATAAAAAAATAATTTAATTTCAACATGTCAAAACTTTTATATGAATATATGCATTTTGCTTATGAAATTAAACAAAAATAAACCGGGAGTGATCTCCCCTAAACTTTCTCGAATATTCTTATATAAAACAACAGGGGATGAGAACTCGGGCTATAGACATTATTTTTAATCCATTTTAAATACTTAAAGTTTTAAAAAAAGAATAAAATCTCGTAGACAAAAGATTGCACACCAAGTGAACGCCAAATAAAAAAGTGCATAATAGTGCGCAATATTATTATTGCTTTAAAAATTTACATTAGTTTTTTGAGAAATCGGAAGTAGCGTAAATTAGTACTTCCGGGCAACGGAAATTACTCAAAATTTGACAGAAGGTAGAGAATTAGATCTTATACTTACATGTGAAATTTCATTTATCTATCTGAAATAGTACTCAAGTTATAGGCTTTTGAAAAATTCAAAGTAGAAAAAGTACCACTTCCGGTTATCAGAAATCGCTCAAAAGTTGATAGGGATCTACGATTTTGATAAAATACTTATATATGAAATTTCATCAACCTAGCTGTAACGGTACTCAAGTAATCGTGTTTACACACAGACAGACAGACACACAGACATACGGACAGAATTGCAAAGCCCAGTTTTTCAGACTGGATTACGCATAAAACCTCTTAATTTTGATAAATCTGGATTGATAATTTTTGCCCGATTAAAATAAGTCCTCTATACTTCGGATGTGATGAAGGACTGAGGTGTAATACGGTGAAAATTGTTAAAATTTCAAGTGATTTTTGTGCACGATTACAATACTTTCTCTATACTTCGTATATACGAGAAAGTAAAAAGGGAATACCTAAAAAATATATCTAGCAACATGTGAACACTATAAAAAATACGTACCTTCTCTTTTAGGCTGGAACATGACGTAACCGTACGCATGAAGACACTGCTGTACACAAAGTACCAGCCTGGGTGTACAATGGCCAGTCTGTCTGTCCTGAGTGTGACATTTCTGGTGTGATGTCTGCAGTTGCGCTCCAGGCAATCGTCTGGGTTGGACAACTTCAAACTGGACTTTTCGAACATGTTTGCTGTGAATAAAGAAAAGTCTAGTTATGACAACTTCAAACTTGACTTTTCGAACATATTTGCTGTGAATAAAGAAAAGCCTAGTTATGACAACTTCAAACTTGACTTTTCGAACATATTTGCTGTGAATAAAGAAAAGTCTGTTATGGTTGTGGCACCTTGTTTGGGCAGTTAGTTTGGTTATATGCCTGGGCAATTTGTTTCTTTATGGTAAGGGCACCTAGTTTGGTTATATGCCTGGGCAATTTGTTTCTTTATGGTAAGGGCACCTAGTTTGGTTATGGTCTGGGCACTTTGTTTCTTTATGGTAAGGGCACCTAGTTTGGTTATATGCCTGGGCAATTTGTTTCTTTATGGTAAGGGCACCTAGTTTGGTTATGGTCTGGGCACTTTGTTTCTTTATGGTAAGGGCACCTAGTTTGGTTATATGCCTGGGCAATTTGTTTCTTTATGGTAAGGGCACCTAGTTTGGTTATGGTCTGGGCACTTTGTTTCTTTATGGTAAGGGCACCTAGTTTGGTTATATGCCTGGGCAATTTGTTTCTTTATGGTAAGGGCACCTAGTTTGGTTATGGTCTGGGCACTTTGTTTCTTTATGGTAAGGGCACCTAGTTTGGTTATATGCCTGGGCAATTTGTTTCTTTATGGTAAGGGCACCTAGTTTGGTTATGGTCTGGGCACTTTGTTTCTTTATGGTAAGGGCACCTAGTTTGGTTATATGCCTGGGCAATTTATTTCTTTATGGTAAGGGCACCTAGTTTGGTTATGGTCTGGGCACTTTGTTTCTTTATGGTAAGGGCACCTAGTTTGGTTATATGCCTGGGCAATTTGTTTCTTTATGGTAAGGGCACCTAGTTTGGTTATATGCCTGGGCAATTTGTTTCTTTATGGTAAGGGCACCTAGTTTGGTTATATGCCTGGGCAATTTGTTTCTTTATGGTAAGGGCACCTAGTTTGGTTATGGTCTGGGCACTTTGTTTCTTTATGGTAAGGGCACCTAGTTTGGTTATATGCCTGGGCAATTTGTTTCTTTATGGTAAGGGCACCTAGTTTGGTTATGGTCTGGGCACTTTGTTTCTTTATGGTAAGGGCACCTAGTTTGGTTATATGCCTGGGCAATTTGTTTCTTTATGGTAAGGGCACCTAGTTTGGTTATGGTCTGGGCACTTTGTTTCTTTATGGTATGTGCCTTTTGTATCGTTATGTTCAGGGCACCTAATTTGGTTAGGGTCAGGGCACCTTGTTTGGTTAGGGTCAGGACACCTAATTTGGTTAGGGTCAGGGCACCTAGTTTGGTTAGGGTCAGGGCACCTAGTTTGGTTAGGGTCAGGGCACCTAGTTTGGTTAGGGTCAGGGCACCTAGTTTGGTTAGGGTCAGGGCACCTAGTTTGGTTAGGGTCAGGGCACCTAGTTTGGTTAGGGTCAGGGCACCTAGTTTGGTTAGGGTCAGGGCACCTAGTTTGGTTAGGGTCAGGGCACCTTGTTTGGTTAGGGTCAGGGCACCTAGTTTGGTTAGGGTCAGGGCACCTTGTTTGGTTAGGGTCAGGGCACCTAGTTTGGTTAGGGTCAGGGCACCTTGTTTGGTTATGGTTAGGGCACCTACTTTGGGTTATAGTCAGGGCTATGATGAAAGTGAGTGTCAGTATAATGGGTCAGGGCTAGAGTCAGGGTAATTGCTAGAAAGCAGACTAGCTTAAGAACTGGGTTTAGAATCAATTTTAGGATCTCGGAATAACAGAAAATAGCTTGTAATGTTCTTCGGCACCTATCAGAACTATACATATTTATTGCTGTTAATCAACATATGCAAGCATATATAAGCATTAATAAAACAGTATAAAAATAGAAACAAAAATTCTTCTTACGTCACAGAATAACTGCTAATTTATGCCAGTTGTAACAATGTTGCCAGATATTTAAATCTTAAGTGCTGATTTACAACGAAGAAATTCTAAAATATAGCAGAAGATAACGATGACTTTGTTCGATTTAACGTACTAACTTGTTTATTAAATTGAGCAGATAATCACACAGCAATGAATAAATTAACAGACTAATTATATTTCTAGCTTACCAATCGGCGAATCCGGTTCTTGAAAGCTGACATGCGCACTAACTGGGCTAAAGAGGAACTGTTTCATGTTGTGATTGGCTGACACTGCAACAAACGAACAACCAATGTTGATGTCATTTTTCAACTATGATCCACAATAATACTTAAGTAAGGGAGATAACTTTACTCAAACTCTAACACAACAGAAAGACTTTTTCTTCTTCAAATGTTTTTTTTAAATAAATTATTTACTATTTTATAAGACTTGATACATTATGCTGATCTGCACTTTGAAGTGTGTAAACTGCTGTTTATATTAGATTACATTATCGTATTATATAACAATAATTTTAAATCAATCTAACTTACATGTTATGTTTGAATTACTGGCAATCATCTGCGAATACAAGTAATGATTACAATTTATATTAACTTAAACATGTCTTTAGAGCAAAAATGTAAAAAAAAAAATTAAAGTTATTGCTTAGGTCTGTTGGCTAGTAAATAAAACAAAATGTTAATATATATATATATATAATATATTATATATATATATATATATATATATATATATATATATATATATATATATATATATATATATATATATATGTATATATATGTATATATATATGTATATGTATATATATATATATATATATATATATATATATAACTATCTCTAAAATAACTGGCATCAAAAGCTACTCACCAACTGAATCAATGCTGACATCTGGCCACTGGTCCTGGCACAACATAATTCCGTGCCATCTTTCTGTTTCTTGAGGAGCTTCTGGAACAACTCGGCATCCGCGTTTATAAAGTTCAAGGCCGCGCACTCCAAGCAGGTCTCCTGTATGCTGGATGCCTTAACATCGCCATGACTTAACTCTTTGTTGAAGTACAAGAAGGCGATTAGCATGGAGGAGAGGATGCTCAACGATAATGACACGATGCTTAGAAGAATTAGGTTCCTTCTTCGCAGGATGTTTGGGCCTGATTTTCGACTCCGTGGGTCTCGACTGTGTTCATATTCAATAGACAATTGTTGACGTAATGGGATTAGGTCTTGTTGATTACGATATTCAGGTGTTCTCGATAAGGGAATAGGCGGAGGGGGTGCGTAGTCTAGCGGTATTGAGTTCTGCCTTTGCAGGGTGGTGATAGGAGGGTCGAAGGAGTACGTGTTAGGGGACTGAACTGTCGAGCCACTTCTGACGGACATCGATGAGTCGCTGGAGACGCTGATCGATGACATCGTGCTATTTTGGCGTCTGCTCGTTTTCTTAGACACAGACATGAAGCTGCTGTTGGCATACATACTTCTGCTGAGAGTGTTGCGTATCTCGCGGTATTATATCTTGATAAATAAACTCGTGATAAAGTTCACCTACGTTTTATAGCTAAATAAAAACACAAGTTCTTGAATTGTCAAGCTTTGTTTTTTCTTTCTTTTTCTCCAAGAATAACAACTCGACTTGAGCATACAATTAATACGTAAATCCGTTGTTATGAAGGTTTTACAGTTTTTAAAAGTTGATTTTAGATAAGGAATATCAAATCGTGTTATGTGTATTTTATTTGTGTTATACTCTTCCGAATATACATAACAATAAATCATGCAGATTTATTGTTATACATAAACGCTTTCATGATTTCTGAAATGTAAAAAAAACAACGGAATACAGATGCAATGCAACAATAATTTTGCTGAACAATAATTTAAAAAAATAACAAAATGTTACTAACTTAATTTGCGGACAATTGTAATTAGTTAAAATAAACACTATTTATCAGAGCCTTCCGTAGTCCACCTAGTTATGATTGGTACCCTACACACGTTAGGGAAAGTAAAGGCGGCTGAGCATTGTGCTGACCACACTATCCCTTCATATGCTGAGGTCACAGAAACAACTCTACTTCAATTGCCCAATAGACCGTCAGTTTTGAAAGGAAAATTTAATAAAATAAACACTATCACTTTTTATAGCGTTAAATTGCAGTACAAATAGGCATAAAATTAAAATGTAAAAAAAAAAACATTTTAATAAAAATAATTGCAAGAAAAACTAGAAGGCATAAGTTAACCTACATTCTGGAAGCTTGTTCATCTCTGAATCGTGTAAGTAATACGTTTATAATCGCAGAGAAACGTTCAAAAGTAAACAAAACAGTAACATGATTTGTAATATATGTCGACTTGCATAATTGACAATTTTTTTTCTAGAAACTTGTTAGTAGACTAAAGTGGGTTTTGTTTTGTTACTTTTATTATTCGTTTCGCGCTAAAAAAAAAGCTGTATTGTAACTAAAATAAAACTGGAATTTTTAAAAACAAAACCCCCTTTCCTGTTATATTTAAGTGTATCACGTGACCACAGTATGGCGGTACAGGAAGAGCATCTTTAGTTAGACAAGTTTTAGAATGAAAGTGAGAGCTTTGTCGAGAGTATGTACAAGTAAACATGTTACACAAAAACAAAACCCAGCAAATAACGATTGTCTACCATACATAGACACCAAATGACACAACGTACAAAGACACATAACATACATGCAACATCATACATGAACATAGACATAAACACACATAAACAAAAACACAGTGGCGTAGGCAGGGGGGGGGTTAGGGTATATATATATATATAAAGTATGAGGGCGGGGGTGCAAATCGAAAGTTTGAGGGGGGGGGGGTGCAAATCGAAAGTTTGAGGGGGGGGGGGGGGGGGAAAATCCCCGGGTAAAAATTGGAACCCCCCCCCCCTTGAGACGATCCTGGCTACGCCACTGTACACGCACACAATCTTAGAACCCTATTCACGTTCACGACAGATGCACAACACATCGCCTTACATAGACCACATCGATTCACATATAAACTTATATAAACAAACGCATAATCACATAAACATACATATAAAGGTTCACACAAACAAAATATACAGTCACCTACAAAAACACGATATACATATATGCCCAAATGCATACACATATTCACGCGCAAACGCATACATTTCACAGACACGCACACAGCAGACGTCGATTCTAGTTAAAGCCAACGTTACACTCCACGTAAAAACAAACAAGACAATTCACACGCCTGTCACAGTTATGCTATCTTGTCACATGTCACAACAAAAGATAACCTTAAGACTTGTCACCAAACTTTTATCCAAACTACAAACAATTCACACGCATGTCACATTTCTGCTATCTTGTCACGTGTCACAACAAAAGATAACAATACGACGAGTCACCAAACTTTCATCCAAACTACAAACTTTCAAACTCAAAATAAAATATTTTAAACAAATAATATAATTGAATATTTTCATAAATCCAGTCAAATAATGAGCGTTAATTAAATTATTGTTTATATTTAGTTACCTAGTTTATAGCAACAACTCCCCTGTACGAATGGTGAAATGGACGTTGTGTTATACATATTTGAATACAAAATATTTTGTTTCTAAAATGACTTTTTCACCGTAAAAATTAAGATAATACTAGATTCGGTTGGAATGAATACAAATAAAATCCCCTAAAAGAACTGACGGTGTACGAATGGTGAAATGGACGTTGTGTTATAAATATTTGATTAAAAAATATTTGGTTTCCAAAATGACTTTTTCACCGAAAAAGTTAAAATATTAGATTCGGTTGGAATGAATACAAATAAAATCCCCTAAAAGAACTGACGGTGTACGAATGGTGAAATGGACGTTGTGTTATAAATATTTGAATTAAAAAATATTTGGTTTCCAGAATGAGTTTTTCACCGAAAAAATTAAGATAAAAATAGATTCGGTTGGAATGAATACAAATAAAATCCCCTACAAGAACTAACGGCCGTTATGTCAGGTGAATTTTTATTCACCTGTTTGTTTGATTTAAGCAGAAAAAAAAACTGTGTATTTAGCACTATGGCCTGCCTTCTTGACTTTCCCCAACTTTGATGCGGTACTTGTTCACGTTGGGAAGACGACTTAAGGACGTCCTAGTGTATTCAAATCTAATGCATTCGTAAACTTTAGAAGCAGGCAACGTCTTAGTGTCCCTAGCAGGAAGTCCGGCTCTTTTATAAGTGCCAGTGACTTTTTTTTTCAATTTTTTTTGGGGGGGGGGGGGGGGGGGTAAAGGGGATCTATCCGAATCAAGACGACAAAAAAAAATTATTAATAAAATTTAATTATTGAAGTTTTTTTTTCATTTCACAAATGATATTTAAATCTCCCAGTCCTAATTTACATTAAGATTCATTCTTTGTTTCATTTTTGTTGTCGATAGCAATTCATATTTTCAACATAGAGTATTCTTCCATGCGTATGTCGACGTTCTTATTTTACTGCTGAACCTAATCAATTTCTTTCCTTAAATTAGCACTGTTACATTTTCTTCTCTCTTCTTTGTTCTTAATTTTAGCGTTGAAAGGGGTCCCTTCAACACACTTAAGTATACGTGTCAGCTGGTTATGCGCCATTGAGGCCATTGACTCCGATTTCAGCCTGCTTTTCTTTTTGTATTTGCTTCCATAGCCTTCGACAAACCAAGAACAAACTACCAGGCAGCAGTTGTTTGATTTTGGAGTTGTCTCTCCTAGAGGTATCAAGCTTCATCTCCCCTGGGATTTGACCCGACCAGGCCGACCTATGGCACTGTTTAAATGTCAATCTTTTGAAGTTAATTAATCTCTGCTTTTCTAAACGTATCACGATCACATGTTTTTGAAAATTAAATGATTATCTTAAAACAAATGTAAAATGAATTACAATGGGTTTTAGCTTACCTTAGCTGATTATAAAATAAAGTTGTATTTTGTCTTAAATAAAAAAAATAAAAAATAAACTTTAATTTTAATCTGATATGAATTTTCTTCAACAGTAAAAAATGATCTTGACTATTTTGTTGTTGCGTTATATAACACAGAATTCATATGCATCCACTTTCTATATGAGCCTTGTCTTATAAAGTAGCGACATATAAACGCTTTAGGAATCAACGATTTCTCTATTTATACACGTAAAATCCATGGCATCAAAGATTCCCTAAAAAATTACAAGTATCATATCTGTATTAGTCATAACTTATACAGCAAGATTCTGTGTTATGTTGTGGTTATACCACGTTATCAGAGTGAGACCGGGAAAATCACATGGCAGGATACGGATCACGTCTTACTGTGTATAGAATAAATCTGTTTCTAGACCAGGTAGCCAGGTAAAAGGTACGTCGCGTGCGGCTCGGCGCCCCAAAATATCCTTGAGAAATTCCCAAACATAGTGGTCTAGGTAGGGTGGTTCCCTGTGTGTTTTAGCACTACAACTGATGCGTGCTTGGTTAAATGATACTGAGACTACATAACGTAATACGTTCATGATGGTCTATTCTCGGCGTCTGTTAAATGATACTGAGACTACACCACGTAATATATTAACAATAATAGTCAGCCCCAGACATCTGTTAAATGCTACTGAGACTAAATAACGTAATACGTCCATGATGGTCAGTTCTAGGTTAAATGATACTGAGACTACATTACGTAATACATTCATGGTAGCTTCAGGGATAGCGGTAGCTATACGGCTACATCGGTCTACTCAATACATTGTGTCTTTCAAGCATCTCTTCGTGTATGGGAGGGGGGGTGGGGAGTGGGGGGGGGGGAAGCACTACCTATCCATGGAACGTCCATCGCCCATTAACCAAGTTAGAAAAAAACACATCAAAAGTGACAGTATATAATTTAACCACCGTCTCTTCTCCCCTCACACTAAGAAGTTTCCAGTACCACCCTCAGCAACCAGCACATTAATTAAAGAAGTTTGTTTCATTTTCTAATTGTAGTGCATTTAAAAACTTATTATAAAGTTGTTATATTTGGGGGTTTTCATACTTTTCAATCAATTGTTCGAAATACAGAGGCTACGTCTGAAAATATTTCCTTAAAAACCCAACTAGTAAATCATGATCTCTAAATGAGAGTTATCTGCCCAAAACTGTTCGTGACCAACTAACAGGAAGGAAATCATCTACAGCGACAGAGTACCCTCGACATATAGCTGATCGATCGATCACTTGAGATTTGTTACTAAATTTAGAAATAAAACATGTATAATTAAAATGTAAAGACTGATCCATCATCACCCAAGACATATGGGGCAGATGAATAGTGTTCAATGATTCAGTTACCTCGGCATATGGTGATTACTATGCCCAGCCGCCTTTGTTTCCCTACCGTGGGTGGATTTTCCACTCATTTAAACCCGGATTCAAACTCAAGACTCCTGAGTTAGCAGTCTTGCTTCTCTACTGCTAAGCCACACCGTCCCATAATGACTAATTGCCTATCTAATCAGATAAGAAAATTGATGTATCGTTATCGAGGAAGAAGGTATCTGGACAGTTTGAACTAAGAGGGTAAAAATTGAGTTACAAGATTAGCCCTAAACCCGCACACAATGTGAACTAAATAAAAGCTTGTGAAAATATGTACTCTATGTGTAGTATAACTTTCGTTCTACAGCCAATACCCACTTTCTAATATAAGACCATCGACAAAAGAGCCTTTATCTAAATAACCAATACCGTGCCACAAAGCAAGAAACACGTTTAGCTACTTCCAAGAAAACCTGATAAGATTCCAGGTAAATTTTTTTAA